TTGAGGTACTGATATTTGACGCGAGGAATAGTCTTCCAGAATGCTACAGTAAGGAGAAGAAGTTGACATTTAGATGCTGATGATCTTTGGATCAACATATTTATGCGAGCAAGCATTTTCTTGTATGAGTATAATATAAAAGATAAGTAAGAAGCCAAGTAACAAAGAAAAATCTAGAGGCGGGCATGAAACTGAAAGCAACAAGTTATGAGCCATGTTTAAACAAACTTTCAAAAGGCATATACGGCTAAACTATTTTAAATAGTATTCATTTTTTAAGGCTATATAGTTTGGCTACTGATTCTATTATTCTTGCAGAGCTGGATAAAATACTTTAATATTTTTTTCTGCAAAACATGTGCATGTTTTTATATGGATGAAGTTATCTCATATATAAAGCTATTTAATTTAAATTGTATATATATATATATATATATATATATATATATATATATATATATATATATATATATATATATATATATATGATCATAATCAAATATATCAAATATAATATTGAAATAAAAATGTGAGTGGCTCTTTAAAAACATATATTTGAAAAAATATTAACCTAACTGAAACTGTTTCAAGTTATCGCGTTCACAAACACACAGACACGGAAAAAAATTGCAAAATCAAGTTTTACGGTTTCTGGAAGGAGGTTGATAGTCAAATTTTGATTAACGTCTTTATTTATATTTTTGTGCACGATTACAATACATTCTGTATAATCTGTTATTAATAAAGAAAGGATGTGAAAAATGGCGACAATTGTCGAAGTAACTGTTAATCATACAGCACGATTACAATACTTCCTCTAGAACCTGTATTCAAGAAATTGAAAAATAAATATTTAAATAAATTATGAAAACTAAAGTTTTAATAACAGGCTTGTTAATAATAATGCCCTGAAAATAAAAATAAAAAATTTTCTTAAAAGAAAATACCGATGCTTCTATTTAAATGACTATAAACGAAATCGTTGGTGGCTCATTTAATTGTAATGTTTTTTTTGTAAATGTATTCAATACTTAGTATTTTGACCCAACCTCTTTAAAATAATTATTAAAATATAGAGGCATTATTATACCACATTAAAAATATCATTATTTTCTTCGATTAGTTATACAAAAACTTGTCATTAAATCATTTTTTATTATATATTTTGAATACTTTTAACTATTTAATACAACATAGTTGCATGACTAAAAATAGTTGTACACCAAATGATCACGAACATTGTGTTTAAGAGACGGAGAATGCTACTTTAATAGAAAAAGTAATAAATTTTAAAAAAAATTAAGTAGGCATTTCGTTAAGTCATATTTGATGTAAGATTCTATAGCCATCATTTCTTGACTTACGTGTCAAATTTTAAACGAATCTTAGCGTTAGAAGTGGTTGAAAATTTGCACGCCAATTTCGATCCAACGCTATGCATTATGGACAAAAGATGGACAAAATCAAGATCAATAAAGTAAGTTAAATAAAAAATTGTAAATTCATGTAAAGGTTCCTCTCACCTTTAATCACCTGCTCTATCATTTAACGAGTACGGCTCTGTAACTTGAGCTCAAATAATCCACCTCACCGTACATTTCTTCACCACCTAAAACAAAAGTGCCAGTACACTAGTTTTAATTTCCTCAACCCTGATTTTAAAAAAACTTTATCAACAAACGAAATTAAAATAATTATTATTGTACTTCATCGTGCGGACAATTTCTTAGCTTAAATATTTGATTTATTTGATTAATCTGATTTCATTTCTCATTTAATTAAGTTAAGATTGATTTTCATATTTTAGGTAAAATAAAAGCTTAGCGTATAGCTTTATTTTTTCCGTTCTTGTAAATGCCAGCCTTGTTGAATGTCCGTTTAAGTATTTTAAATATAGATTCTATGCATGGCGCAGCTAATAAGGGCTTTGCTGATATTCTTTCTTCAAATCAGTTGTGTTAGATCTGAATTTAAGCAGGTTGTTTAAAGATGCACTGTAGTCCTTCGTTGAATTAAGTATTTGAAGTAAATTTAAATTTATGTGACCTCGGCATATAAAGAGATACTGTGGTCAGCACTATGCCCATCCGCCTTTACTTTCCCTAACGTGAGTTAGGTAACCATCAGAGTTGGATGGACTCAGGGACGGTATACTAACTTGAACCCAGATTCGAACTCGAGACGTAAGGGTTTACCAGTCCAGCTCTCTACCGCTAGACCACTCCGTCCCACTCATTTCTTAACTACCACTCAAAAGTAATCAGGCACAGAATTAGGAATTTAGTTTTTAGCGCAATTTCCATTCTGGAGGATTGCGTTTATTAACCCGTCATTTCTAGATGTATGAATGTATGGATGGATGAATGGATGTATGTGTGTCCGCAGCTTTAAGTCGTATCTCCTCCTCAACGAAGCAATATCGATGACTAGTTCCAAAAGCAATTATGTTAAGCTAGACCACTCCGTCCCACTCATTTCTTAACTACCACTCAAAAGTAATCAGGCACAGCATTAGGAATTTAGTTTTTAGCGCAATTTCCATTCTGGAGGATTGCGTTTATTAACCCGTCATTTCTAGATGTATGAATGTATGGATGGATGAATGGATGTATGTGTGTCCGCAGCTTTAAGTCGTATCTCCTCCTCAACGAAGCAATATCGATGACTAGTTCCAAAGCAATTATGTTAAGCAAGTTACGAGGATAAACATAGGCCATAAAAATTCCGGGTTTCTTTCATAGATTTCCCGGAAAAGCCAAAAAAACTCGAAAAAATTCAGTTTTTGGCCCATATCTCGGCAACCAGACGACTTAGCGACTTGAAACATGTACCAATCGATTCCTGCCATAATTTAGAACAATTTTGCCGAAGAAAGTTTTCAAAAATATCTTTTCGTTCGGTCACAAAAAAAAATTTGAATTAATTAAAATTTGGACCGAATTAGTAGGCATTTTATGCAACCACACCACACGCGTCATCACGTTTAATAGCTGCGCCATCACGTTCAATGGCTGCGACGTCACGTTTGGTAGCTGGGCGCGCAATGGTTTTTAGTCATGTTACTCTATCGTAAATAAAACATGTAAAATACTGGAAAAAAAATAATAAAAAACGTTTTAATAACTAACCAATGGTTTTACTAACCCTGCTCTTGATTTACGCTACGACAGAGCTATTTTTAGATAACACAAGGAAATTGCGCTAAAATTGTCACTAGACTTTTTTTAATTACTTGTTTAACTACCAGTTAAAAGTAGTCAGTCACAGCGCATTGGATTTAGATCTAAATCCCATCAACTCGAGTTCCACTGTGTCCACACGTACACACAGCTGTACACACACCGTGCCAGATGCTACAAAAGTTGTACAAGTTGAACAACATGGTCTTAGTTCAAGTGTCTAAATTCAGATGTGTACAGCATCTTTAGTTGAATACAAACTTAAAGTATTCAACAACTACTTTAGTTGGATACAAACTTGAAGTATTCAACAACTACTTTAGTTGAATACAAACTTAAAGTATTCAACAACTACTTTAGTTGGATACAAACTTGAAGTATTCTATAACTACAGTCTGTATCGATAGGTCTAGCTGACGCAAGCCGCACTAGATGTCTCGGAGCTTAGCAAAGGATTACAGTTGTTGAGCTTTTCCCCTCTTATGTGAAAGTTTATAATAGAAATTATAGTCATATTGTTCTCTGTAAACGCTATTCGTCGCACTTTTTAGAAACCAGACATTATGTTTTCTATATAAATAATACTTTTTACCGCAATTTCCATTCTGGAGAATTGCGTTTATTAACTCGTCTTTTCTGGGAATGGATGGATGTGTGTCCGCAGCTTTAAGTCGTATCTCCTCCTCAACGAAGCAATATCGAGGACTAGTTCCAAAAGCAAATATGTTAAGCAAGTTACGAGGATGAACATAGGCCATAAAAATTCCGGGTTTCTTTCATGGATTTCCCGGAAAAGCAAAAAAAAAAAAACTCGAAAAAATGCAGTTTTTGGCTCATATCTGAGCAACCAGACCACTTAGCAACTTGAAATATTTACCAATCGATTTCTGTCATAATTTAGAACAATATTGCCGAAGAAAGTTTTCAAAAATATCCTTTCGTTCGGTCACAATTTTTTTTTAATTAATTAAAATTTATACCGATTTAGTAGGCATGTTTATCCAACCACACCACACGCGTCATCACGTTCAATAGCTGCGCCATCACGTTCAATAGCTGCGCCATCACGTTCAGTAGCTAGGCGCGCAATGGTTTTTAGTCATGTAACTCTATTGTAAATAAAACATAATGAAATTGCGCTTAAATGTCACTAGACTTTTTAATTAACTTGTTTAAATTTAGTTTAAAGAGATGCCAGAAATTAACTTGTTGCCGAGGTGAAGTTAAAGTTTGATTGTGATCACTTTCATAACTTTATCATTAAAATTGCTAAAATATTTTTAAAAGACCCCCCCTTTTGAAAATATTTTCTGAACATATATAGAAGCGTTTTCTCAAACGTATAAGACCTTTACATCGATAAACAAATTTTGGTTTAAGTTAGTAGTAGTTTTTTTTTAAATATAATTTTGACGAGCTAATGTGTTTGATTCCGTGTGTAGAGTGTTAATAGCTAGACATATATATATATATATATATATATATATATATATATATATATATATATATATATATATATATATATATATATATATATATATATATATAACCCGAGTGCTGACTAAGGGAAACTGAGTCAGGCATAAAATAAAGCCATGACCGTAGAGATATACACTGTAGACAAAAAAAGAAGCCGCGACATTGTTAAATCTATCGATTTGTTGACCATCTATCGAAAATGTGCAATGGACAATAAAACCACCGATGACTAAAACAGCCACTAAAACAAAGATTAGGAAAACAAACAACTGATGACACAAACAACCAGCCGTTGACAATTTGTTTTTTTCTGAAATGGCTAATATGACACATTGTAAAAGGAGATTTGTTTTATTTTTTGCAACAATCTTATCATTATGCGATTACAAGAGATTATTTAATTGGCTAATTAAAATAAATTAATTAAAAATGTCAATCTAACAACCACGACGATATTGTGTAAGAAAAACAATACATTCAAACCTAAATTTTTAAATGTTTTTTTTTTGTTTTAGATTTTCAGATTCTCTTCGACGTGTGCTCATGCCGTCATAATGCCAATGAATGACTAAGCTAAATGATGTGCTGTTGTTAATGTTGTTGCTGTTGTTGCTGCTGCTGTTGTTGTTGCTGGTTTTTTTTTTTTTGCTGTTGTTGCTGTTAAACGTCTCAATCCACTTTAACCGTTACGGAAAGGCTCGTGGACTCTTTCTCTATTTTCAGGTCTGGCGGTGCTGGAGTAGCTGTTCTGAAGCCTCACAGCGGCGGGCGCGTACCCAAGGGGCCTATAGAGCGCCCTTCGCTGCATGCCTTGATACGCCGTGTCGTCATCGAGCCGAGATGGAAACGAGCTGTACTGACCACTGGTCAAGGATCTTTTCTGCTCTAAAATGGCCGACTCCAGCTGGCGCAGTGAATGCGCATGCGCTCTCAGCGCGAGGAGGAGCGGGTCTGGGGAGGCGTCTCCCGGAAATGACCTTTTAGACAGGTCGTCCTGGAAGTCGTTGATCTCTTCTTCTGGGTCAAAGGGCGAGGTCCTGCAGACGGACAATGCAACGAGACCAAGCAGCACCAAGCTCGTGAGTACACCTTCAGATCCCATTGGCATGATGGTAGAGATTCTGGTAAATAGAGAGAAAGGGCAAATTGTAGAACAAACTACGTTTTTAAAAAGTTACTAAAATTGATTTAATGGAAAATTTTTTTGGATAAGTTATATTGTCGACGTTAATGATTCAGCCACTAACCAAACCCTAAAGTCAAACAGAAATACTAAACCCAACCTAATATCAACTCTTGGCATAGTCCTATCCCCAATCATTGACCTAAAGCCTAAAAGCGATGGTTTCCGATATTACAATATTATATTGGTAGGGTCATTTACATAATTTATTAAGGTTTAAAAGTAAACTAAGAAAATATAATAATTTTTATAATAAATAAAATAATGATAGACAAATATATTCAAATGTACACAACACATTACGTCAAGAGTGCATCAATAACGTCAACTGTGGCGGTGGTCATAAATGTCAAATTGTGTATTATGTAATAGGTACATGATCTGTGCAGTGGCGGATTAAGGGGGGTGCTTAGGGGGCTGCAGCCAGGGGCCCCCGATTTTTAGGGGCCCCCAAATTTCCTTTTTCAATCATAGTTAATTTCCCTTTAAAGTGAAATCTTTGGATTTTTTGTTTCTTTTTACTATAAAAGCCAATGTTTTAATATCTGAATGACAAGTTTATTTCAATTTTTGATCAAAATATCAAACTCGAGCACACACTTTAGTATAAATACCAGCCCGGACAGCGTTTGCTTATAACAATAAATTGGGTTGATTTTAGAGTTAAAAACAAAAACAGCGGTCGAATTCTGACACATAAAATGACATGCATCTGGTGTGAATACTGTATGATTTAAACTTTTAAAAACATTTATAGGCCTTTACTTTCAGGGAACATTAATATCGGGTTTACAGGCCAGGGATGACGTTCTTTAAATGGACGCCTGTGGAAATCCAAGTTTTTGTGGGCCTCATAAATGAATGACATCTAAGAGGATGGAGGTGTGGATTTTTTTACGCTTATACCGTTCTTACTGTTTTAGTTGGGCCTAGTTTAACCCCTGTATGTTATTGATAATTTCCTACATAATGTGGTTTGATATTCTTTGTTTTCTTTTTGCGTCTATAATCAAACGAGTGCCAACAGTCTTTATCGTCTGCTCTGTAACTACATTATAATATTCTCATGGATATTTACGTTTGTTCAAGGTTAGTCTGCATTTCCAGCTTTCTCATGCCCAATATAAATACTTGAATTACAGAACAATAACTATCGTGACACGGATATACAGGCTCAGGAGTTTGACTCCCATTAGCCAGGGAGGTCTCGACGTAGTGAACTCCAACTAAATGGCAAATTGTGAACTGAATCAGTCTCACTGAGATGTTGGTTTGAAACACTACATGATGGTCGCTTATCCATCCGTAGGCTCTATCCAGGCTTTACTTCCCCCACCACCAGACGCAGGACATCGTCTTACCGTCTGGTACCCGGCTAGATCGCGGGGCAGAGGTCGGAAACTTCTATAGGCCTAAACTAAACGGTCATATATTTAGTGCTACTGACGTAGCGGTTGGATCTCGCCTGTGTTTTGTTAGTGTGTGTGTGTGTGTCGTGGTAGTGGGTGGGGACAACATATAATCATGATGAAAATGAGTACATATTGGTTAGATGTTAGGGAATCGGCGTGGTCGAGTCGGTAAAACTCGTGGATGCTTAACCGAAATGTCTCGAGTTCAAATCCTCGGGCAGATGAGGCTCGTTAGATGGGGATAGCAAGTCTTCTAGGAGAGACAACTACAAAATCAAACATCTTCTGTAGTTTGTTCTTGGTTGGGCAAAGGCTATGGAAACAAATTAAAATAAACCGGGAGTGATCTCCCCTAAACTTTCTCGAACATCCTTAATTATATAAAACAACAGGGGATGGGAACTCCATTTTAAATACTTAAAGTTTTTAAAAAAGAATAAAATCTCGTAGAAAAAAAAGTATTGCACACCAAGTGAACGCCAAATGAAATGTGCATAATAGTGCGCAATATTATTAGTACTTTATAAATTTACATGCGTTTTTTGAGAAATCGGAAATATCGTAAATTATTACTTCTGGTCAACGGAAATTACTCAAAATTTGACAGAAGATAGAGAATTAGAACTTTTACTTACATGTGAAATTTTTTTATCTATCTGAAATAGTACTCAAGTTATAGGCTTTTGAAAAATTCAAAGTAGAAAAAGTACCACTTAAGGTTGTCGTAAATCGCTCAAAAGTTGATACGGATTTACGATGTTGGTAAAATACTTATATATCCACCTAGCTGTAACGGTACTCAAATTATCGTGTTTACACACAGACACATACACAGACACACAGACACACAGACAAGATGCTTCTATTTCAACAAAGAATGAATCATTCCACATGACTTGAGATAAAAGTGTCATGAATCCTGCCCATTGTCCCTGGACTCATGGCGTGCATCCCAGTTTGTATTACAGTGATAGATTGAGCATTACCAATATTTACAGTTGAATGTGTTCTGTTCCATCAATAGCACATGAACATAGAGACTTGATTAGTTTGATCCGGTAACAGCAGTTTTATTTTATCATAGCGTATTTTTGAACGAAGACAAACGTAGTTGTTCCCGTGTGTTATTTCAGTATTAAAATTTATATCTTTTACTTGTATGTGAAATTTTCATTTATCTATCTAAAAAAGTACTCCAGTTATAGGCTTTTCAAAAATTCAAACTAGAAAAGTTCCACTTCCGGTTATCGGAAATCGCTGAAAAGTTGAAAATGATCTACAAATTGTATATAATACTTATATATGAAATTTCATCCACCTAGCTTTAACGGTACTCAGGTTATCGTGTTTACAGACACATCCACACATCCGGACAGAATTGCAAAGTCCAGTTTTTCCGACAAGATCACGTAAAACGCCGAAATTTTAATAAATCTGGATTTAGAATTTTTGCCTGATTAAAATAAGTCCCCTATACTCCGTTTATGAAGTACTGAGAAGTAAACTGTGGAAACTGTCAAAATTTCATGTGAATTTTGTGCAAGAATTACAATACTTTCTCTATACTCTGTATACGAGAAAGTATAAACCGGGAGTGATCTCCCCTAAACTTTCTCGAATATTCTTATATTCTTATATAAAACAACAGGGGATGGGAACTCGGGGTATAGTTATGTTTTTTAATCCATTTTAAATACTCAAACTTTTATAAAATAGAATAGAATCTCATAGAAAAAGAATTGCGCATCAAGCGAACGCCAAAACAAAAAGTGCATAATAGTGCGTAATATTATTAGTACTTGATAAATTTACATGCGTTTTTTATTCGTGTCCTAAAACATCCTAAAGGGAGAGTTTGTTCCTAGTGCTGCAGTCATTTTATTCGTGTCCTAAAACATCCTAGAGGGAGAGGTTGTTCCTAGTGCTGCAGCCATTTTATTCGTGTCCTAAAACATCCTAAAGGGAGAGGTTGTTCCTAGTGCTGCAACCATTTTATTCTTGTCCTAAAACATCCTAAAGGGAGAGGTTGTTCCTAGTGCTGCAGCCATTTTATTCGTGTCCTAACCATCCTAAAGGGAGAGGTTGTTCCTAGTGCTGCAACCATTTTATTCGTGTCCTAAAACATCCTAAAGGGAGAGGTTGTTCCTAGTGCTGCAGCCATTCTATTCGTGTCCTAAAACATCCTAAAGGGAGAGGTTGTTCCTAGTGCTGCAGCCATTTTATTCGTGTCCTAGCACATCCTAGAGGGAGAGGTTGTTCCTAGTGCTGCCCATTTTATTCGTGTCCTAAAACATCCTAAAGGGAGAGGTTGTTCCTAGTGCTGCAACCATTTTATTCTTGTCCTAAAACATCCTAAAGGGAGAGGTTGTTCCTAGTGCTGCAGCCATTTTATTCTTGTCCTAAAACTTCCTAAAGGGAGAGGTTGTTCCTAGTGCTGCAGCCATTTTATTCGTGTCCTAAAACATCCTAAAGGGAGAGATTGTTCCTAGTGCTGCAGCCATTTTATTCGTGTCCTAAAACATCCTAAAGGGAGAGGTTGGTCCTAGTGCTGCAGCCATTTTATTCGTGTCCTAAAACATCCTAAAGGGAGAGGTTGTTCCTAGTGCTGCAGCCATTTTATTCGTGTCCTAAAACATCCTAAAGGGAGAGGTTGTTCCTAGTGCTGCAGCCATTTTATTCGTGTCCTAAAACATCCTAAAGGGAGAGGTTGTTCCTAGTGCTACAGCCATTTTATTCTTGTCCTAAAACATCCTAAAGGGAGAGGTTGTTCCTAGTGCTGCAGCCATTTTATTCGTGTCCTAAAACATCCTAAATGGAGAGGTTGTCCCTAGTGCTGCAACCATTTTATTCGTTTCCTAAAACATCCTAAAGGGAGAGGTTGTTCCTAGTGCTGCAGCCATTTTATTCGTGTCCTAAAACATCCTAAAGGGAGAGGTTGTTCCTAGTGCTGCAGCCATTTTATTCTTGTCCTAAAACATCCTAAAGGGAGAGGTTGTTCCTAGTGCTGCAGCCATTTTATTCGTGTCCTAAAACTTCCTAAAGGGAGAGGTTGTTCCTAGTGCTGCAGCCATTTTATTCGTGTCCTAAAACATCCTAAAAGGAGAGGTTGTTCCTAGTGCTGCAGCCATTTTATTCGTGTCCTAAAACATCCTAAATGGAGAGATTGTTCCTAGTGCTGCAGCCATTTTATTCGTGTCCTAACACATCCTAAAGGGAGAGGTTGATCCAAGTGCTGCAGCCATTTTATTCGTGTCCTAAAACATCCTAAAGGGAGAGGTTGTCCCTAGTGCTGCAACCATTTTATTCGTGTCCTAAAACATCCTAAAGGGAGAGGTTGTTCCTAGTGCTGCAGCCATTTTATTCGTGTCCTAAAACATCCTAAAGGGAGAGGTTTGTCCTAGTGCTGCAGCCATTTTATTCGTGTCCTAAAACATCCTAAAGGGAGAGGTTGTTCCTAGTGCTGCAGTCATTTTATTCGTGTCCTAAAACATCCTAAAGGGAGAGGTTGTTCCTAGTGCTGCAGCCA